ATCCATAGTACAACATGGCTACCACTTCCGTCAGATCGTTTAGATTAACGCGGACATGGCATGCTCCTTTCTGACTATATATATTCCAAGACATTATCTTGGTTCTTCCCGATAATTTACCATCCATTTCGGATAAAATATTTTTACTAGAAGAGTCTAAACTTTTTTCTGCAGCTGAAATAATTGTCCTCATCTTATTAATAGTTTTATTTTTTGCAAATAACACATTCCATATCTTAAATACATACACTTAACGCATGTGTTTAACACCAAAGACCTATGCGAAATTTATTCTATAGATATCCACTTAAAACATTACATGCTACTAACTTGTTTTTATTATTATACCTACTCTTAAAGAGTATACCTATGATAGGTTTACTTTCAACAAACCAAAATTTTAAATATTCATCTAAATTTAAATTTTTTTATAACAAAGTCATTCTCATCAAATTTTAAACAACTTTTAAAAATGTCCGTCCGTTCGTACGATGTCACGTTTTTTCCGTTCGATAAATGGGGGGTTAAAAAGTGGTTTGTTTAACTGTGAAGAGTATCATATACAATGCCAAGCATTACATATCTTTATTCTAGTTATTGAACATCAATCAATACCCAGATTAGTCGAGACGCGCGTCGCGAGAACCATATCGCAAAAAATTCATAACATACAAACTCAGCCGCAGGCTAATATTTCTATCTTAAAAAAACTTTTCAAAGCATTTCTCTTCATTTCACTCGCAGCATATACCGGCATATTTTCAAAAAATAAAAAAGTTTGTTGCATGTCGAAATTTACTCTGTATAAATGATGTAAGATAGAAGTTTCAAATTATTTTCGACAAAAAATATTTCGATATCTTAAAATATTTAGTACTGAGAGGCGCTCATGTTTCTACTTCAATTGAAAAAACAAATCGATAACTCAAATATTTACTGAGATAATAATATGACGATCTGTGGGTTAAAAACCAACTAACTGTATCATAAAAATGCAAAATTTTAAACTTTTCATAATTAAAAAAGTTCTACACAGACCGAAAATTAAACTAGGAACAATCATACAATTTGTATTTGGTTCTACGTTGAATGAGCGGTATGGATTTACTCCATTTACTACATGTATTATATTCCACTCGTTAGGTCCGGACCTGAATGTGCAGCGCTAAATAGTGTTCGTTAAGTATTAGTCGTCTCAAGTCGTTTCTCACTTTAAAAAATAGAATCAGATATACCAAGAGGTCCACACTCCTCGTGCCTCGGACCGCTCTCCCCTGAATATGCAATTGTTTAGCTCGAGCTTTAGATTCCTGTTAAATAAGCACATTATAAAAAAAATATATCACACACAGAGATGCTAGATCCAACTAAAAACATAAAATATCACATGTTATTAATAAAATTTTGGTCACGATCTTCAGGGAGCTGTAGGGAAGCACTCTACGATATACATATATACTTCTACTAAGTTGTGGAAACTAACTTTTTATTTGACAGATTGGCAAAACTGAAATTTTCGCTTGAATTTGCTTATTTGTTCCTCTTTTGTCCAAAACATTTTAAAATCGAATTAAAAAAACTATCTAAAAAAATTATCAATCAAACTTTGCGCTTTTCCGGCTAACGGAAAACGCTGGATAATGTCGAAAAACCATTGCAGCGAAATGTTAATTCTTTCACATATTTTCCCTTTCCGCTTCTCAACCGGCCCTTCTTGCCGTACTAAAAGCTAAACGGGTAAGCAGTAATAGTTCCTCAAGGCTAGCTACGACCTCTTAACTCGACTTTGTGATGGCTATGGCCATACGATGTGCCATTAAAGCCAATGAAGCCCGGCTGTGATGGCCCGATATCCCTCGTTCTATGTTTCGCCGACAACCGGGTGGTGGAATCTATCGCGTACAGGACTGTAACACAATTTTGGAAATTCATTTATACAAAAAATAACAATCCTTTAATTTAAACATTGGAAATGTTTGTGTTCATATATGGGATCAAGTTACGAGTGTCTGGTCATGGCCAAAAATACGGTTGGTATCGATAATGTTGCGAGGGTCCAATGTTGACAATCCTCAATCTTAAATTACAGAGAACCCTAAAATCAAGTAAAAATCATCGCCGTTAGCAACGCTGGATGTCGCTATCGAGTGACGCAATGACAAATCGTTTGCTTCTTAAGAATTTCGCTGTTTAAGTGATTAAAAGTGCAACAACAAATTTTAAATTTTGAATGATTATAGTATTCCGCATCTAATGATAAATTCAAATTGTGAATAACTTATTTAATTTTGGGGAAATTCGCATAACAAACTAAATTGTAAATATAATCCTTATCGAAATCTCATTAGTAGTATAGAAAAACACGATTTATCTGCATAGATATAAATTTACATACTTATATGTATAAATGAGACCCAGTGGTGGAGAAAACTTCTAAATTTATTTATTTATTTATTTGGATTTGTTCCAGTCATCTACAAGTAATTATTTAATTTCAAGCTACGGAAGGTAAATATAAATGTTGTAAAAAAGATGCTCATTATTATTGGTGTATTTGTTGTTTCGCCATTTTTCATCCTAGTTGCATAAAAACTAAAAAAGTATACATTTATCTGAAAATAAAATTTATTGTAACAAGGCATGTGAACGAATTGTAGAAGACAAAAGTTCAGAATTTATTAAACTACAACAAGAAATTCAGAAATTGAACAATAAATTAGCAAATGAAGAGGAGAAATTTGAAAAACTAGATTATAGTTATGACCATGATGCCAAAGTATAACAATTATAAATAAATAGACTGAATGAATTATATTGAACAGAGAAACTTAAATATGTTAAAATTAAAAAAAAAAAACATGCTAGATTTCGATGACGAAGCTGAAGAAATCGAAAAAGGTTATATTGATAAAATTGGAAATCAAATGAGAATTATCTCTAAACTCCGAGATGATATAAATAATATAAAAATATTAATTTATCAATTATTTATTAAATGAAATTATAAAACATGAAGAAGGAAGAGACAGATAGAAAGTCGCTAATAGAATTGGAGGAAATAAATCGAAATACGAATCACAAAACAAGAGTTACGTAGTTAATTTATTGCCAAAATTCGAAATGGAATTTTAGAGTCTTGAAAATAGCGTCGAAAATAGACGGAAAAATATTGAAAATAATCGGCCAAAAATTAAAAATGGATTTACAGCTAATGAAAAAAAATTACCAAATCGAAAATAATCCAGCTCGAACTGTCCGATTAGGTGATACCGAGAAAAAAGAAGCAGAAAAACATGTGCTAATACTAGGGGATGATTTAGCTAGAAATGTATCTAATTATTTAAATTCATATCTTGATGCATCTGAATATTCAGTGGTAGGTGTTCTAAAATAGATTTTCTAAAATAGATTTTCTAAAATAGATTTTCTAAAATAGATTTTCTAAAATAGATTTTCTAAAATAGATTTTCTAAAATAGATTTTCTAAAATAGATTTTCTAAAATAGATTTTCTAAAATAGATTTTCTAAAATAGATTTTCTAAAATAGATTTTCTAAAATAGATTTTCTAAAATAGATTTTCTAAAATAGATTTTCTAAAATAGATTTTCTAAAATAGATTTTCTAAAATAGATTTTCTAAAATAGATTTTCTAAAATAGATTTTCTAAAATAGATTTTCTAAAATAGATTTTCTAAAATAGATTTTCTAAAATAGATTTTCTAAAATAGATTTTCTAAAATAGATTTTCTAAAATAGATTTTCTAAAATAGATTTTCTAAAATAGATTTTCTAAAATAGATTTTCTAAAATAGATTTTCTAAAATAGTTTTGGGAGGTGACTTGAAATATAGATTATGTCAAGGATAATGATAATAGTACTATTAGATTAAATAATTTATTAATTTCCATTAATTTAACTATTTCTGTACTTCTTACGAACCTGCTAATATATTGTGTACAGTGAATCCCAGCGGCCTGTCCGATCATGAAGCCGTTTTAACTTAGATATCTCTTGAGCACAAGCTTCCTAAGACTAACTCTCGTCATTGTCGATTGTTTAGTAAATCTAATTATGGAAAATTTAATTTAGTATGTAATAATTTTAATTGGTACAATTGCTTTTCTGGTATATCTTTTAACGATTTTTATTGAAACTTCAGCAAATTTTTAATGCGTCTTTCCCTATTCAAAAAATAAAAATTATGCAAAAAAGCAGTGGATTACAGCTGGTTTCAGATATTCATAAAAAAATATGAGATCTCTCAATTATATAAAAAAATTTACTCAAACAGAATTATTTTTAAACTACTCGTACTATTATCTCTGCAGAAGTTTATATAGAAGACTTATTTGAAGAGCTAAAGATATGTATTATCATACAAAAATTGAGAGCTCAAAAAAATAAGGCAAGGGAAACTTGGTCTATTATTAATGAATTAAGAGGAAAAAGTACCCATAAATTGTGCAATGCAAATATAAATCCTAACGATTTCAATACATCTAAATCTAAATAGAACAATTGACCCATTAGAATTTGTAAAATCGTCACCAATTAAATACTAATTTTTCTTAAGAGAAACAAATTCCTTAGAAATATTAAAAGTTTGTAATGACATAAACAACAAAACTACATCAGGATATGGTGGCATGTCAGTGAAAATAATTCAAAACTTATCTACCTCTGCATTAGACGTTTTATCCATTTTAATAAATAAAAGTTTAACTGAAGGTCCTTTTCCTCCTTTTCTTAAAACGAGTGTTGTGGTTCCAAAATTTAGGCCAGTCGTCCTTTAGATGCGTTTTCGTCCGAATTACATTCGTTAGAAATCGTACGAAGAAATGCGAATAATCCAATTCCTTTTAAACAAATTGAGAGTCGTACTTTGCATCCGAATTATTCGTGCGTTTTCGGACGAAATCATGCGATGTGCGACGTATCCCCAAAGAATGGGATATTTCGCAGTTGTTCTGACGAGTGTTACACGTTCTAGCTCAAAAATGGATGTGGAGAAATTAATAAGCCTGGTTAACGATAGAAAACCTTTGTGGGATATGACCGATAAAACATATCACATGAGGGATATACAAAGAAAATTGTGGCAAGAAGTAGCTGTTGAAATAAGTGCTAATAGTAAGTGCAATTAACTTAAGTGAATTAAATTAACAACCTTTATTTTAATAAGATAATTTCACAAATCATAAAGTTCACAAATGTTATTGAAGTGATTTGAATGTAGTATTATAGATTTTACAATTTTTGAGATGAAAAATACGCTTTAATTTTATTTCTGATATCATCAGCTGAGCTGGCGGCTTTGTTTTCACCTAGGGTTCCAAAATGTGCATTTTTTGAATTCGTTTGCTTCGAAATTTGCTTGAAGGCACAAACTACTTGTTCCCCTTCTCTATCAATTATAATATTTTGCAACAGGCATATGCATTTAATTAGTTTATGGACAGAGTCAGGATTTACTTATATCGATTTTTGTAACAATCTCCATTTGCTACTCATAATTCCGAACGCACATTCAACAACTTGCCTGGCTCGAGACAAACGCTCATTAAAAAATATTTCTGTGGGTCCTAGTTTTGATACTGGGAAAGGTCTCATTAAATAGTTTTGAGTGGATAAGCTTCATCTCCCACTAGAAATATGTTTTAACGCCCATTGCTCCTTTTTCAAGTTTTTCGCAAAGGTTTGAATGAGAGAAAATACCACCATCACTTTCTTTACCATATGCTCCTACATCTATTGCTATAAATTTATAATTTGGCCCGGCAACAGCTTGCAACACAATTGAGAAATACTGTTAATACTTCCGATACATACTTCCTGAATGCTTCGGATTCAGTATGCGTATGTGTTTTCTATCTATGCAGCCAATGTAGTTTGGAAATTTCCACTTATTCCAAAAAATTTTTGATATAGACTGCATGTTCTCATTTTTCGGAAATTGCATATGCACATTATGCAACTTGTTCCAAATAGCATCAGACGTTTCATGCACAATTCTTCCTACTGCAACATCTGATATTCGAAACGAATAACCCAATGCTTTGAACGATGAGCCTGTGGCCAAATACCTAAAACATATATTAGATCTTTCAATATGATTTTCTCTGTTTCAGTTGACGTAGTAAAAAATAAATAGAGGGGACTAAGAGACACATTCCGAATAGAATTCAATAAGTCCAAAAAACAGAAATCTGGAGATGGAGCGGCATCGGTAGTTACTTCAAAATGGCCATATTTTAAAATACTGTTGTTTTTATCTAAGACTGTTGAACGAAGAACACTACATGGAAATATATTCTCACAAATAATAGGCGATAATGTTTCTGAAGAAGAAAGTATGTTGGAGGCTGCATACAGACTCGCAGTCAATGCTTCCGGAAACTTCACAGCAAATTTAAAATTCAGCTTTACAGCAGCCACCCATATCTAAAACTAAAGCTACAAGTTCATTAAGTGCACCCACGAGTACAATACCAACAAAAAAAAAAAAAAACAGAAAACAGTCATCTAAAATATAAGAAATCCGAAAAAAAAGCAATGAACGAGAAGTTTCTGCAAATTGAAAGGGCGAAACTAGATATATATATTCACGACGACAAAATGAAGATAGCGAATACCTATTTTTAATGAGTCTCTTGCCTTTTTTAAAGGCTGTGCCGAAAGATCGTCAAATGTTTGTCAAAACTAAGATGCATCAAGGATTTATTGAAGAACAACAATTATTGACAATGCACGCACCCGGCGCATCATACCATTCCAATGAAGAAACATCGACACCATCTCCAATATACAGGAAAAGGCATTCCTCCAGAACATCATGCTAACCGATTAATACCAGTGGATTCCCAAATGGCTTTGACAGATGAACAATCTTCCCAAGTTTCGCACTATTCAACTGAACGCAGAGACATCTCCTCTCAACAGTCGTTGTCTATTCAAAACTTGTTTGCTGAATTCTCACAATGAAACAATATATTTCTTTTCAAGTATTCTTACTAGCTAATAAAACTTTATGATGTTAAAACTACTCTATTTATCACTTACCTCAAAGTTACATTTAGACGTTCCTCTGGTGAAATGGTTTCATGGAAATTTGATATTTTTTCTATTGATTCCCTTATGGCATCTAAAATATATGTAAATGTATCCTGATTCATGCGGTAGTAATCGAAAAACTTTTTTCCATAATTTTTTAAATCATTATATAAATGATGAAATTCTCCAAATTCTCTTCGTTTTGCTAGTATATATCCTGAACCCAACACTTTTTTCTTTTTGCGTTTAATCGTCGTCTCAGAAGATAAGCATTTTCCAAAAAATATTCATCCATTATTTAGCACACTGTTTCCCAAAACGCACTGATTCGAATTGTGTAAAAGCTTATCCAGTAGACGATACTACTAATCCGAAATCTGACGAAATTATTCGTCCATTTTCTGACGAAAGCATTTCGGACGAACACGCATCTAAAGAACGACTGGCCTTAAGGGAGGAGACTTGACTGAGCCGTCTAATTTTAGGACCATTTCTCTTTTTCCGACATTGGGAAAAAACGTGTAAAAACTCGACTAGTTAGATATCTAGACCAAAATAATATACTGGACATAAATGAATTCGGTTTTCAACATAACAAAAACGTATCGGATGCTGCTGCTTCTTGTTTGGAATTAGCCTATAGAAGTATAAATTTCAACGAGGCCGTAGCTTTTGACTGTGTCAACCACAGAGTACTGCTGCGAAAGCTTGAAGTTTATGGTATAAGAGATGTGGCATTGAGTTGGATGAAATCCTACCTTTTACGTCGCAAACAGTTAGTTTGAACTATTTCAGACTCGAAAACAAGTGACATAAAATGGGGTGTCCTTCAAAGCTCTGTTCTTGGGCCCACCCTGTTTTTAATTTATATAAATGATTTAGGTAAGTTAAATATTTCAGGAAGTTTTATCTATTTGCTGACGATACTACTATCTTGTGACATAATAGAGACGTCAATATTCTTTATGCAAATATTAAAATTGATCTCAAATTTTTTAAAACACTGCAAATTTTCTATCATTAAATTTAAAAAAAAACTAACCTTTAAATGTAATATTCCTGATATTTTAATAGATATGGATACTATAGAAGCCACAGACTCTACAACATTTTTGGGTTTAAATATCGACACGGATTTAAAATTCAAATCTCATGTTGATCCACTTTTAAAAAACTCGCATCGAGTTGTTATGCCATTAGAACTATCTCTCATGAATTAGGAAGTTGTGCAGCAAAAACTGCATATTATGCGTTAGTTGACTCCCATTTACGTTATGCTGTTTAGTTTTGGCGATTTTGTTCTGTCGAGTTATTTGGTAGAGTCTTTATAATGCAGAAACGGGCAATAAGGTTCTAATGTGGAGCACACAGACTAGTTTCATGTAGACCGCTGTTCTTAAAACAAGAAATAATAACATTAACTTCATTATTTATCTTAGAAACTTGATGCATAATCCATAAGAACAAGTCGAAATATAAATCGACTATATCCCTTGTAACTTGCCAAACGGATAACTTAAAGTTGCCTATTATTTCCAAAACTGAACTTATAAGAGACATTCTTATATATAATGGCATCAAGATATACAACAGGGTATCACATACTTTGACAGATTTTGAGTCACAAAATTGTTTTAGAAAACTAAGCCTATATTATTTTTAATATTAAATGGGAAAATTTTGATTAAAAAACATGAAATTAAAACTAAAAATAAATCTCTCAATATCCTAGTAGACTCTTAAAAACGAGTTTATGAGATTCAAAACTCTCACGAAGGGAAATAAAAATTCTTCAAAAATAGGTATTTTATTCAGGAGTGTGAAGAAATATTTTTTTTATTTGAAAGTAAATAATGATGCCCTGCTAACTTAATATAATGCTAGCAGGACCACAAAAAATAATAAATAATATTAGTACTGATTTTCTTAAATATAATAAAAAAATATTTAAAAACTCCTTTTTAATTTCCTGCGAAGCTTCCGGTAAACTTCTTGCCTGATTTCTTAAGATTCAAATCTGCGAAATTATTATAGCTGGTATTGTAATAATATTTTGTAGTAGATAGTGATTTTATTAAGTGTATGTAGTCTTCATTCAATTACGGAAAACATCAACCGCAATACAAAGACTTGAGAGAAATATCTTTCTTGTGCTAGATTTCCCTTAATTTTAATTACTACTACGTGGACGTGTTAATGAATTGCAATGAGTTTCTTTGTATCCAGCATCGCTTTTGGTTTTCAAAGGAGTAATAAATACTTTGGATTCACACAACAATAAACTAATTGTTCTATTAAAACTGTTATAGTTCGGGGCCTTTCCTGGTTCTTAAATAGTGAAATACGTTATTGCGATTACTGTGGTAAGCTCTTAAGAGGAAAATTTACATTACAAACTGAAAGACCTGCGGGGCAACGGTTGTTTAGTAGGTATAAAAATAACAACTTAAGGGTGGAGCCTAAATACTACAAAATTACTTCCGAGATTAAACAAAATCAGCATTCATTCCTAATTTTAACAATTATTTTACAATAATTGATTGTTTGAGAGTAGAAAAGTGTCCTTAGTTTAGCAATACATTCGCTTCTGTACCACCGATATCCTCTAATAAAAAAGCCAAAGTAACGAATACAGGAGGCCAATGTAAACGGACAATAAACGGTCTCTTGACATTTTACATTTTTAAATAAACTAGGTTTTTAAAAAATATTTTCTATATCTGTTGTTATAATGAACCACCTAGGTACAGCTTCTGGAACAAATTCACAAAAACTCGTATTGTTACTATGGCTATCAGCAGCCGAGTTGTAAGTTTCACAGTTAAATTTTTTTATCCATTTGGGCAAAACCTACAAATGAATTGAAAGAAAAAAGTGATAGGTAATAAGTTTTTTTATCTCACAATGTCGGGTATAAGAAATTATATAGAAAAAGTATTTAATATCATCTAGACAAAAAAACATATATTCAATTAAATATATTAAATAATATATGACCATTCTTTAACAGAGATATATTTATTTGTACTATGAAAATAATGTTTATGTCAACTAATTTATGTTCAGTATATGTAACAATTTAAAAAGATAACTCTTGTATAATGATGATATTAATATTTAAAGGTTTTAAATAAGGACTTGAAGATATCACAGTTCAAAATTCCTTTTATTAACCATAATACCTTTTTCTTTGGAATGAAAGCATTAGTTCTTGTTTTTGAGTTAAGTTCCATAAATCAAATTATATTTTAATCTGAACGGTACTTAAGCGCAGTAAAGTTGCAACAACTAAACAATATAATAAACTTTTAAAATGAAATTCAATTTTTATTTAATATTAAATAAGTTAGCTAAAATTTTTGACCGTATGTAAGTTATTAAAGTTATAAATAATTACGTTACAAAGATTTATATTTGAATTTTCAATTTCTATTGATGTGATAGTACTCATGTGCGTTTTACAATATACATGGCTTGGCTTTGGCACAAAACCCTTTTTAGTAAAACTGCTAATCCGAATCAGAATCTTGAAATTATTATTTGTGAACTTAAAAACGTGATTCACTAGTCAAAATATTTGGTATAATAATTATATATCATCAATTGCCACTGCCACTGGTAAAATCTAAAATTTAAAAAATGTGTTTTAATAATAAGACATTAATCATATTTTAAATGGATCGTTTACTACCATGTTTTAGATTTAAATAAATAGTAACTCTTAAATTATTAAACACATTCCAAATAATTTAAGATTCATTGCGTCATGTTAATTAAAATTAAACAAAATTTCTCACCATTTATTTGGTATTCTGTCCCGTACTTCCATGTCGCTCATAGTTCTGCTGTCAACTAGTTCTGGTAAGGCATATTGCATATAAAAATTGTGAATTTTATTTTACATCTTTTCTTCCCAAAAGCTGCCATTATGAGGAATTTTCTCCACTTTTATTCCTCGAGGAGGCCAAACGCACAAAATGGAAAACTCCATTTGTGTAATGTGCAGCTAGCCCTGAATTTGAAAATACCAATTGTGGTTCTTCTTAATGGTATTGTCCTTTTCCCAAAAAGTTATTTCTCTACTTCATATTCCTTCTTCTACAGTCAGCACTCTAGCTCCATATGGACATTTTAACTCTATCATAGAATTTTGTTTTAAACTCCATCCGGACTGGCAGAAACATAATCAAATTCGGAATCAATAAAAAGTCCACATAATTTTCAATTCTTATTTTGCTCTGAATTTATTGTCCATGGCATATTGGGTGGCTTTAGCAAAAAATAAAAGATTTTATGAGATTTTTTAAAGAAGACGTTTCGTTTTTTTACAAATGCCTCGTCAGTTTGAAGTAGTGACACGTTTTCGTCTATCATTGTGCCACAATGCACAATCAGTTTAATCTCGTGTCACATTCATTTTTTACTCATCTATAGACATTGGCAAACTTTTTAGAAAATCTTCTTTTGCAACGCGTATCAAAGAGTGCGACAGATCAAAGCCACTCGCGAAAGCAAGAAAAATGATTTACTTAGTTCGAAAAAATATACATTACTTTAACAGATTGAAAGAGTTGTTAACATGTTGGAATTAATTATTCTTAACTCGAAGATGTATTTATTAAAAAAAAAAACACGTAAAAAGCCGTCGAAAAAATCATGATTCTTATACTTTCCTTATCTGTATACAGATAGGAAAGTAAAAATGTTTCAAAATGTGGAAAATGTATATATTTAGTTTATTCTCTAAACATTTACAGATGTGCTACAATAATACGTTGCACAAAATAACCGGAAAACGCCTGTAATAACTAGATAGGAAAGTCATGTGTTGGACACATCAGGCTTTTACCATCAAGGTTGCGACCGTGGACTGCCACAGGTGAAAGTGCCAACATCTATGGGGAAATCTAGGTCCAATTAGGAATTGGTAC